TAACTGTTAGATCTCTTTAGTTTTCTGTAATCCAGACAGTATCTTGGCCTTTCTTTGTCCTTTATAACAATGATAATGTTGAAGAATCCAGGCTTTATTTTATAAAATATTCCTCAACTTGGATTTGATTCATATTTCTCATGATTAGATTTGGGTTATACATCCCTGGATGGAATACTGCGTACATGATGATGTATTCTCCTTGAGAGTGTCTCAAGGGATCAAATTATGTTATGCCTTATAAGGAGTGTGGAGGTTGTCAAATGTAATGTAGGCGTATTATGAGAGTCTTAAAAACTAAAATGTATGTGAAAAGGACCACTCAGGCAGCTATAGAAAGGCGAGAGTGGGTGGATGTAGGGAGACCAGACAAGAGGCTTTTCTGTAGCCAAGGTATAATGAGGTATCTGTGAGGCCACAAAATAATAAGGTAACTTAGATGAGGATGCCAGCATGAAACTGTTAAAACAGACTGGGTTCAGCAGTGCTTTAAAATTAATTTTTATTACTATTATGAATAATTTGTATTTTAATAATTGTAACAGCATTAGTATACATTTGATAAAGTCATAGCTGAACAGCTAATTAGTAAGATACATTATTTATTTCACATTAGAGGCAGTGCTTATTGGGCACATTGATTTGTAGTTCCTTTTCAAAAATTTGTTAGTTCCCAGGAGATTGCATAGCAGATCTTCTTACCCAGAGTGTCGTACTGCCTGTGATTTCAATAGACAGTTCATTCAACAAATGTTTTCTGAACATCTGCTGCCTGGCATTGTTCTGTGTTCTGAATCAGTGATAAAAACAAAGCCCTTTGCCTTCATGAGATTTATATTCTCTTGGAGAATATGGTTAATAAATAAGTAAATTTGCAAGTAAACAAACATGATTTTGGCTAGTGAGGGATAAATGCTGGGAAAGAATTGTATGGTAAAGGAATGCAGACGAAGGCAGGAGAGAGGCAGGTAATATTTGAGCAGTCCTTGAGTAGAATGATACCTGAATGATGGGAGAAAAACATGAGCTGGTTAAAGTGGTAGTCTAGAAAGAAGCAGTAGCAAAAGTAGAGGCATGAAGAAAGATGCCAGCTTGAAGAGAATCAGGAACCAAGAGGAAAGCTGGCTGAATTAGTAAGCTAGGAGGAGGATGTAAGGACAAGTTAACATGTTAGAGGCATGAATTTACTATTTAAACACCGTAGACTCTGCAGATTATTTGGCCAGTAGATAATCGATCTATCAGGTTACTCCCAGTGGTTATCCTGTTCTATTAAGTGTTAGCTTTATATACGTGTGTGTGTGTGTGTGTGTGT